GTACATGTAAGAAAGATACTCTAGCTAGTAATTAATCTACCTTATCACTTTCTATATATTATACTATTGTGTTGTTGAGTTATATGGCTTGAGAGGTGCGCAAAGTTGGTGGGGTGCGTCACTCGCTTGTACGCGTCACTCGCTTGTAAACTACGTTAGTGGTATTTTCGCCAAACTTTGGCCGGTATACCAGGATTGTGTAATCGGGCGCATACCATGTCCTAAACATTGGTAATTATGGTCGACATCCGATTTGAGAAATCTGTTGTTGTTGCATATGGGGCGGAACGCCAGACACAGTGCGGGTCTGGAAATAGGGTCTCACCACCATTGCTTTACACATCTATGAATGCTTGGGCCTCCACGATAATCTTTTAGCAGTGTGCGCTTTACTTGGATAGTTCCAGAATGTACGGTAAGGATGCAACCTGCTCGAAGGGATGTTGCGCTTTGAAACAAAGGTCGCAGCGATTACCCTACGAGCATCCTCAAGGCACTCGTCAACACAAGATACCCTCAGATGGCACGACCCATTGATCTACCTAGCAGTCTCCATGCACCCGCATTTTGAATGTTCATAAACATATGGTCGATGCTGGAGGTGGTAGGATTGATGGGAACCTGTATAGCCCTCATCATCACCTGTGAGCATGAGAAAGTAGTCGTTATCAATCCATATCGAGGATGATTGAGTGGCTTTCTAAGACCCTTCGAATACTAAAGCTTGTTTTTTATTTCGCAGTAATTCCCTCTTATTCACTTCACCGTAATAGGCCCAAAGTAGTTAGCTGAGATGCTTACTTACTGACTAACATCTAGAATTAAACTGTTAGCTCTCACGATAGTTTCACAGCATTGTGAGGAAAACAAGAAAAGGTTCAGATAAACATGGCTCAGCGCCCAAGCAATGTACTGTGTACATTTAAGTATCATCAGAGAGAGTGGATCCAGGACATACGTTAAGCGCGCCGTCCATCTCGGCCAAAACGCCGTGGTCCATAGCCTTGGCTTACAGCTCACGCGCATAGTAGGCGTTAGCGATCCTACCAGTCCATACGGCATAGATCACCCGCATAATGCGGGGGTGTTATATCCGCGGGGAACTATCTACGCCCGAAAATTAACCATTCTTTAAAACCGGCTTTATAAATAGGAAACTCGTTACCGTGGTTTTTGCTGCATGGTAATCCCCTGCAACTTAGACCAGCATTTTTATTTTCATTTTGGCGTCCAAATTACATTTATTTACCTACCATGGATGCGGATAGAAGCTCAATCAAGAAGAAAGAGATAGAAGTTGGGCAGATCGAAGCTACGCGTGATACTCACAGCCCTGTCCCTGACATCCTGCGCCACTACACGCCCGACCAACTGGCATCCCTGGAGAAGAAACTCGTTCGGAAGATCGATTTGCGCTCTCTCCCCATCTTAATCATCCTCTTTTTGCTCAATGTCCTCGACCGAAACGCCATCGCCAATGCCCGTCTCGGGGGCTTGGAAGCATCGCTAGGCATCGACGACGTGCAGTACCAAACGGCTGTAATGGTACTGTGGGCTGGCTATATTTCCATGATGGTGCCATCAAATATGCTTCTGTCAATTTTCAAACCGCGACTTTACTTGCCCACTGTCGTTATAGTATGGGGTATTGTGTCTGGCGCTACTGGATTTGTACAAAATCATGCTGGATTGGTGGCACTGAGGTTTCTTGTTGGAGTTACAGAAGCTCCATACTTTCCCGGTTGTATTTTCTTCCTCTCTTGCTGGTACACGCGGAAGGAGTTGCCTAGTCGTATTGCAACCTTTTACTCGGGGTACACGCTGTCATCGGCCTTTGGTGGTCTTATTGCGGCTGGGATCGTTGATGGGATGGAAGGGCTGGGTGGCTATCCTTCTTGGAGATGGATGTAAGTATTGGCATGACATTCAAATGAGTAGAATTCTGACTTGATCACGTTTAGCTTCATTATCGAAGGTGCGCTTACGATCATTATGGCGTTTGGTGGATATGCGCTTTTACCGAACTACCCCTCGAACACTTCGTTCTTGTCAGCTGAAGAGACTGCTATGGCTCAATGGCGTCTTGAACGCGAGAATGATGGCGTAGCAGACGAAGTCGAAGAATCCGTTTTCACTGGTCTCAGACAGGCCTTTTCTGACCCGAAAGTGGTGAGTAGCTTTGGTCTCAAGCAGTTCGGACGCTTTCGAATTTACGGGGCTAACTGTTGTCAACGTCTAGCCACTACTGGTCTTCATTCAGACTTGCGCTGTCGTTTCTATGAGTTTCACGTACTTCTTCCCATCCATTGTCAAGACGCTCGGATTCCCACGCGTCCAAACCTTACTACTTACAGCACCTCCTTATTTCCTGGCCTTCTTCTTTTCAATCCTCAACTCGTGGCACTCAGGACGCACAGGCGAACATTGCTTCCACATCGTCACTGCGTGTGTGATATCTGCCGTTGGGCAAATCATCTCCATGTCAACGCATCAGACTGGCCCTCGATATTTCGCCATGTTTCTGCAAGCTATGGGTTCGTTTTCGGCCTTTCAGCTCATCTTACCCTGGGTCTCTGCCACTGTTGCGCGCCCAAAGGCGAAGAGAGCTGTGGCACTTGCCTTGGCTACAGCCGTGTCTAATGCAACGAACATTGCCACTGCATACCTTTACCCTGAGTGGAGTGCACCGTACGTATCACATGATTCTCATCATGAGACTCAATTGACTAAAGTACCTAGTCTTTACCGTATGGGATGTATTGTGTTAACTGTGGCGCTACTTTGCTGCGCAGCTGCATCTCTCACCCTTCGATTTTGGCTCCAGAAACTCAATCACAGGTCGGACCAGGCTGTCGGTATAGAGGGAGTAACCAATGGACCCGGAGTACTCTTCCGCTACACACTATAGATAGTAACAATGACGGCTTAAATGCATGAGCATAGTCATGCTCAAGGGACTGCTTCAGTACGATGAAGTGGCTGAATCAAGTATAGGATTCGGCTCCGCATCACTTTTACAACTTGCATCCGTGTTACCCGTCCTCAGATCCTTCTATGTATAAAGAAATTACAGCCTGGCTAGCTCTATCTTGACCGGCGTGACAAAGGAGTGAGAGGTGGTTGGCGTGGGGGTGTGCGGCAACAGTATCGCCCGTTCTGCGCTCATCCACAACATCTGGTTATCTTTGTTATGTAATTCTTCGTATACCGAAGTGGCAGTAGTTCCTGGGTTTGTGTAACCTTGTGTTTCATGGAATGAGCGTTTCCCTAAAAGATCACGAAAACCGCGATCCTACGTACGCACGAGCCTCAGGGGGCGGAGTGCTGCCACGCTACTCCACGTTTCAATTGCATCAAATTGGTCTTGGAGAAAGGATCAAGTGCGCATTGTCAGTCGTGAATATTTTCAGGAGTCTGATTTGATAGTAGTAAAGTCAGTGCCCATGTTAGAGGCTACGGCGTGGAGGTTGGTGTGGTAGGCACCTCTTCTATGTTGTTTCAGCCTCGCGCACTCAACAGCTGTGCCGCAGGCCTACATTTATGCTCTGACATGGTAACAAGTGGTTTAAAGTAACAACATTGCCAGAGGAAACTACATAACACATTTATCATTCCCTTTCAAGATGAAGCAATCAAACTCAAGTCCTAAAAACCCTAGAATAAATGGGCAAAATCTTGCAAAAAACCACATCTTGTTCTCTAGCCAGATCCAACTTCCCCACGAGTTGCCACAATGGCTTCAACCAATTCGTCAGCTTCTTATCCGCCGGCGAATGAAAGCTCCTTACAACACTGGATACGACTTTGAAGGCGAGTTTAGGGATTTCTGTGTTTTGGACAAGACCAAAAAGTGCAAAACCATAACCAATACTCTGTCATTCGATAGTTCTGTCGATGGGTGGGATTTGAAACCTGATGGTGAGGACCTTGAAGCTGCACATCCAAGGAGGCAAAGTTTTAAGGGAGATGATATCGCAAATCCAGAGGTATTGAATGAATTGGAAACTTGCTTTAGAATCTCAGAAAGGTTCGCCAATCTACGCAAAAAGCAAGCAAAAGAGCGCGATTGGCAGAACGCCTTGCAAGAACATATCTTCACAGCCTACCAAAGTAACGACGGTGGTTCCGACCCTTTCAAGTAAGTTCTGGGATAATTGGTATCAAACATAGCTAACTAGAGAAAGCAACATGCAGCGACGCTGGGAGCTGTAAGTCACATTCCGATATAATAACTCTGTTTTACTCATCTGCCTCTTAGACATCAAGAAACTCACTGGACTGAGTTCAACCAATCATCCCCATCTGACTTCCGAGACGGCAAAAGTACCTTGACATATCCCGTACCGGACTTTACTTACGGATTCCCCATTATCGATATCACTGACCCTGTCTACGAACCATATCTAAAGCACCGACTGATCGAGAACTTCTCACTTCCAACGCTCCACAAACTCCGAGAAGCCAGTGTGCTATCCTCGCCGCGGAAGGCCTTAGCGCAATGGAAATCTTCAAAGCCCACAAACGACCAAATGGGTGGTTCAGATCTCATGTGCTTCCCCTGGGCTGTCGTTGAGGTAAAGTCCGCTGCCAAGGACGCCAGCATAGAAAGGATGTGCTATTGCCAGGCTGCGAATGCTTCTGCTGCGGCCCTTAGCATACGGGAGAAGCTACATTTAGCTTCGAAAAAGAGTGACCCTAAACTTGAGGCTCTCGTCATCTTCTCTTTCACGTGTGTTGGTACGCATGTCAAGCTCTGGCTCACATACACGTCTCCAGTAAGTAGTCAAGAAGCATTGCATATCTTTCCGTTGGGTTAACATGTGTTAGGAGGAGAAAGTCGTTATGCAATGTATATGGGCAACCTCACTGGAGATTTCTTGGGGTGTCTTTGTCCTACGCATGGTCCTCAAGAATATGCAGGAATGGGTAAACCAAGAGGTCAGGCCCGAGCTTGCCCGATGGATTGAAGGAGCCCGGGGATGTACAACACCCAAGGTTTTTCTGAGTTCCGGCGGTGGCTTGATAGAGCGAAGCAGAAGATCTGCATCCCACGAGTCGCACTCCGAACGTCCGACAGACAGTCCTTCTTTGCGAAAGTCCTATTCTTCTCTGAAATACGTCGCAAAATATTCCCAAGAGACTAGCCAGATGATTCGCTCTGCTGCGCCAAGTCCAATGTTGAGTAGTTTTTCGAGCGAATACGAAGACGAAGACGAGGAAGTAGAAGAATATGATGATTACAAAGATGAAGACTATAATGAGGAAGATGAAGACAGCGAGAACTCTGTGGACGAAGGCTACTATAGCTCACAAAAGAAAAAGACGAGAAAGAAAGTCACACCCATTGCGTCGCGGCAGAGTCATCATTCGGGCCTCACTCGCACAACGGTGATATGTTCGAAATCAGATGACAAAGGCATTGTGAATAAAATTTCTTCACTTTCCTTCTCAGGCAAGAAAAGGTAATACCCGGCACTCTGGCAGCTGCAAGAGCGAATCATGCGAAGAGATGAAGTCTTCTAGTTGGGCGCGGATTGGATGCAATTTGTAGAAAAACCTCGTCACGGAAAACACCCACATGATTAGTTGAGCCACCTTGTATTTGTACTGTATTTATTTTTGCACCCCGTTTTCTGATAGAAGAGCAAATCTTTTCACATCCTACATTACACTCGGTGACCAAATATGCAAAGTGTCCATCGAGGTCCAAATGTATGAAGCACGAAATCGTTTTCATGAGAATGCTGGAGATATCGTGTCACGGCATATGAAGTTTTGCCATAGTACCATCTGCCCTCTTTTGCGAAGTAATCTCTCGTCCGTGAGAAACCTCCATAACTACTTCCCATGTATTCAGTGTTCATCCATCAACATCTCCTTCTCAGTGTGCACATCTGTGTTCATATCCAGGACCATGGCATTTTCACCTGCGTTACCAACAAAGCCTCATACCGGTCGTGAAGACATGAAGAAAGCAGGATGTGGCCGTAATCCCTTACGCGGCCGATGAAACAGTTTGATGCAGGAGTGGAAACGGTATCACTGATGTCGCCATATCAGTTTGTAACCACCAAAGGCTAAGCCATTCCTTGATAGCGTTGACGATATTGGGGAAGGTGTTCAGAACGCGCGCGGGGTGGTAGGCTACGACCGAATACCCTGAAAGATACATACAGCTCGTGTCACTCCGCAGGCGACGGGCATCGAGCATTCCAGAAATCTTTAGGTGTATAGAGATCCTTGACCTTTTGCGAAAGTACATAGACGTGGTTGGTACTGATTCTAGGGACAGTTGATGTGGAGTGCTCATTTAGCAAGTCTTGAGCGGAATTCCCCAGCCGAGCTTTAGGACCACCCAATGAAGCTTGTGGGCCGAATTATCTTGGTGGTTATATTCCAAGCCAGATTCATAATCACCCTTGTCTTCCAAGGCTATGAATGACACCGGGATCGATATATATGTGTAGAGAAAAGAACAGGTGGATTCATGCAATAATATCCACCATATCCTCCAGATTCTTGACCCCATTCTTGAGATTCGGAGAAGTATCGAAAAAACCAAGCGTGTAGTCTGCCTGGTAAATGTGGAAAATCACTATATCGAAGACTTTCGTGAAGCTCTGCGGAGATCTTCACGCATATATAGCGCTGCGTAAATGACAAGTAGTTGTGGATCAAGATAGGTAACGGATGGAAACGATAATATATGCTAGATTTTGGACGGGAAATGATTCTCAGTTGAGGGCGCTTTTGGCCAGATTTAAAAGCAAGGCATTACGGCTGTGATCATGTGCATGCAATGTTGTGAATGCGATAACAAGTCTGTGGTAGCGTGCTTGCGATGTTTTGATTTTTGTTTTCCGTTGATTTTCTTGCATTTGCGGTACCATGATCACAGTGTCCTGATTGCAGTATTGATTGTACCCATGTTTCCCGTATCTTGTACTCATGATTTTGTGCTTGCTATCTCATAATTGCGTTACTAGCCTTGCAGTCTTGTGCTTGCCCTGCGGAAAATAGAGTGATTCACTCGGCAGTTTGTGCCTGTATTGTGTTTGTGACATTTTGATTGCTCTACTGTGGTTTTTTCCATTCCTTGCCAAAAGCTCTTTTCACGGAATTCCTACAAACTCGGGGTAGTTCAAACCATCTGCTTTGCACCTATTTATTAGAGGCGGTAGTTTCTGAGATTGATGTTGTCCAGAACAGCAGCTTCTTATATGACCACCCTTTTCTTTTCCCTATGTCGTTCCGTTCCTTACATACATGTCTTCACGTAGACGGAGAAGGCGCTACACACCACATATACCCCCGCACTGTTTTTAATGTTCGCGCCGAGTATGGCCAACTTCACAAGTTGATGCGAAGTGACGACGATCGCGTTCGTTCATTTCTTTCCTAATGCCGAGAAACTCACGAAAATGGCTGACAAATTTCTTGTCGTTCTATGAAATCCCAACTATTTCTCATTCTGTCTTATACAAGAACAACTGCCAGGCTTGGCATTACTTCTCGTGGCTCTAGACGCGTTTCTTCGCCTCTCGGTCATCCTTCTACGTCCTCAACCTAGAGTCCACATCGGCATCGAAGACACCTTGAAGATCTACAACAGCCTTATACTATCGACAAAATATATTGCCCCTTGAGCTAAAGCAGAAGAGAGAAATATCCGCATAAGGATAGCCAACTCAGTATTCCGTACCCGTACTGCTCCCGATGTATTTACGAGGATAATCCACCCAAGGGCACGGGTACACCGAGGGAGGCGGTTTTTATCTGCAGGCCTTTCTACGACCGGAAGTATCCATTGACTATATGCGCAAGGAAGAGCTCGATGTCAAAGTCACGGGAGGTTTAGGGCTCGTTGACAACTTAACCTTTGATCGCGACGGTCGGTTCCTACTACTACGCGTGTTCCTTTTGTGGTTCGATGAGAGAAGTCAAACATGGACCATCCGCTTGGACGAAAAGAGACACACACGACTTACATGAGTAACAGCAAAATACACGACGAAGCTCGTCAACAACTTATAGAAGCAACAGTGAAAAACACAGCACGGCGTGCCTGGGGATATTGCTGATCGAATATATATATATGGCAGATGACGTACTCGATGAGATTGACAGAGCAAGTGAAGTACAAAAGACAACGGTACAAGCAGCAACAATCAATATAAAAGCACAGAAAAAGCGCAAAGAAATTTCGCGCTATTGGTAAATGCTCTGCGTATTGTGCTGGGCGCTCCCAGCTGGAATCTCCATATCATTTCGCGGTAGTTATTCCCCATCGGGGGTGCATGTTGGAGTCTTAGAACATGTCATTCCCGCGGAGAAAAGGAGAGGAAGAAAAAGAGGCAAGAGAGAAGAGAGAAGAGAAGCAGACTATTCGCAGATGCGAGTGAATGGATATGGATTTTGGATAAGGGTAAAGTTAGGGTCAGGGTTATATAAAAGACGTGGACCAGGACGATGATGTGGGAGGGAGTGGTGCGGTCAAAGGTATCTCAGTCAGGAACCATGCGGACAGCGGAAAAAAACCTGGATAAGTTTTGGGAACACGTCGACAATGAATACCAGAGCGAGGCGGGAGTTTCACAGCATGAAGTCATGGGCTAATGCCTTGCTGGACAAGCTTCGGGGAACACGGAGATGAGGAGTGCCAGACCTCGAAGAAAAATTGCTCGGCATAAAGTCATTCGCGGATACTTTGCTGAACATGGTACGATGCAGCGTACAGCGCCGTGGGAGGATAATGCGAAGGCGAAGCCAAATCCAGTCAGGGTCAATAGAGGCTATTTATTAGCTACTTTGAAGGATTTATTATGATGAGTATATGTGGATTACTAGGATATCTAATATATCAGTGATTAAAAAAAGGATTGACGGAAGACAAGACAAAACTTAGAAGCTGTGATGGCTATAGTGCTTCAGATATGAGATGGACGGGCCCCAGCTGCCCTTTTGTTGTCTTTCTTTGTCACATCTTCATGAGGAACTTTGGCAACATGGGCGTACATGAATAAATAAATGGATATATCATGTAACACATGACAATTGCAAGTCTCTAAGAAAAATAGAATAAATAAGAAACACACAGGAAAATTATCACGGCGGCACATTGATATGAGTAGTTCATGTGATAAATATTCTTCCACTTTGTCTACTCTTAGTGTATCAGACCAAGTTCTAAGGCGATCCAATCACCTATTTAAAACAAGCCCTGTACCTCCATTCCCCAATCACACATTAAAAACATGTTTACATGGGAGTACCACGGGGCCTATGTGACACAGCACGGTGCTTTTGCGGCTGTTCCCTGTACCTATCACACCATTAGTAATCATCCTCATCTAGCATAAAAAAGGGCATAAAACTCACTTTGTCACAATTCTCTGAATCGAGTCCAGACCCTTCTCCAGCACATCCATGCGAGGGCCATAGCTCAGCCTGACAAAGTGGTGGCAGGGCGAGTCGAACAAGTCCCTACGCCTGCTAGGGTTGAGGTCGAAAAAGATACCAGGGACAACAATAACCTTCTCCTCGAGACAGGCCTGGAAGAAGTTGAGACCGTCGTTGATACCCTCAGGGAGGTTGGAAAGGTCGAGCCAGAGGTAGAAAGTCGAGTTGGGCATGTAGGGGAACTTGAAGCCGATTTCCTGGAGACGGCCAATGACGTAGTCGCGCTTGGTGCGGAAGTGCATTTGCAGAGCACGCATTTCGTTGCGGACGCGGGGAGGAGAAAGCATCTCGACGGCGGCCTCTTGGAAGGGCACGTTGCAGCCTCCATCAAGGTAGGAACCGCAGGAGCCAATGGCCTGGATGAATTCCTTGGGTCCAATGACCCACGCTACACGCCATCCTGGGAGACGGAATCGCTTGGTCAGGCCGTCAATGATGAGCACGTCATCCTCGTCCACATCTTCGACATTGTCGGCGGCCGAGATGACGGTACCATCACAGTTGGTGGTGTAGTTGTATCCGCAGTAAAACTCGTCCATGATCAGAGTCGCGCGGTCTCTGCAAATGTTCTGAATCTGGGCGAGTTCGGGGTTGGTGACCATCTGACCCGTTGGGTTACGGGGGTTTGATGTGAGAATGACAGAGGTACCACGGGCAATTTCCTCTGCAATCTTGTCGGGCGACATGTGGTATTGGTCCGCCTCGCCTAGAGGGACGGGAATGGCGGCAATGTTTCGGAAAAGCGACAACATCTCGTTGTATGCGGTGTAATCTGTACATGTCAGTTTTGAGACTGGGCATATATCGACACTTTCAGCGTACCGGGAATGAAGAAACCCAAGTAGCAGTTGCCCAGCACAGCAGCGATACGGATCAAACCAGCACGTCCACCAGGGACGATACAAACCTATACTCAGTCAGCCATTTCTGCCAAAATACGAACTGCACCGTCTTGACCTACATTCTCCCATGTGTATTGACTCTTGCGCCACTTGCGGTGGTGCTCATTGTATAGCGTTGCAACCGCCTCTCTCAGCGGCCTGATACCAGCGGTAGGACCGTACTCTCTGCCGTGAGCACTGATATCCACCTCTCTCGGCCTCTCGAAGCAGCCCTCAATGCTGTCGTCGACCTCAGGCGCACCCTGACCCAGGTTGGCCCATTCCTCTGGGTGTTCGAGGAAACCGTGCTTGTATGCTTGTTCCGATGTCCAGACGACACCTGTCGAGGCGCGCGTCGCGTCGAGACCGGCGTGGGGCTTGTGACCTTCGTGTGACTGGCGGAATTGGCGATGGATCGAGGAGCCAAGCTCTAATTGACCGTCAGTAAATTCGTCGCTTGCGTGTTTGTATGCTTTAACATGAAGGCTTCAAGGAAAAGCGAGACCTGATTCGTGTCGTCCGTGTGTGTACGACATGGCTGCAAATCGGCGTGGGGTAGTACTCCAAGTGAGGGGGCGGATAACGAGCGAGAAAAGCAAAAACAAAGAACCCCAAAAAAACCCCAACTCAGCCTACACAAATATGTGGCAAAGAGATTAGGGGTGAATAGATGGGATAAACGCTTTCCCAAATATGCAGGTGAATCCTCCTCTATCAGATATCGCCCCGATTTTTCCCAGGTGCTCCACATCTGCACCGACGTTGCAATGCCTCCGATGCTAGGACCCGGGCCTCAATCTCGAGGATGACGTAGACAGCCCACGATTGGGTTCTCTTCTCGAGGGCTTGAGAAGAAGAAAAAGACAAAAAAATTTACATACCACTCTCAGTAGGATCCTTTGAACTCGAAAAGCGGCGTTGGGAGAAAGCTCCCTTCAAATGGCTGACCTTGTCCGCCGAGAAAGACATTGTTGCGAAGAGGTATGTACGCGGGATCTAGGTGTAGACGAAGGAAGCTTCGATCGATGAAGAAAAAAGATCGGAGGAATGAAGAGAGTAAGTAGGGCAGCAAAAAAGGCCAGGACCCAAATCGGTAGTCACGGAGGTCAAGCTTCCGAGAAGAGAGACACAAGAGTAGACAAGAGACAAGATCCCAAACGAGGCTTTTAATGCCTTCCCCGAACCACAATGCGTGGGAAAAAAAAAGATAAGGCAAGTGAACCAGGTGCAATTGAAAATCCCAAGGCACAAAAAAACGACACCTGTCCAACGCTTTTCAATCAACAAGAAAGCCCACCTTCCCCCATCCATCGGCCCTTTATATCTCGCCGTTTGGGTGAGGGGGGGTGAGGGGAGGGAGGGGGCGGATGGGCACTGTGGCTCGCGCAACGCACAACGTGCATAACCAACGGACTCGTAACATGCATATTTGATCGTTTGGTTGGTAGCTATCCATGCCCCGTGGCAAAAGAGACCCTAGGGGGAGAGGGGCTGCGGCGGCGGTGGGCGGCGGCAGGCTTACTACTGCTACCCAACCCAATAACCAGCTCCGATACATGGCGTAACAGCAAACCCACGTTAGTCTGAGCCCCCCCCCCCGAATCCACTCATTGCTTTGTCTGACCGCCCTTGCGCGGCCTCCAAGCTCTAGATACTATCGGCCGGGGATAAGATGGGATGTCACTCAAGCCACATTACACACGCACACATAGAGTTCAGTAGCACCAGATGTTTGAGGAGAGCCCAGGCCAGCAAGTGGCGCAGACCGATCTCGAGCTCTGTATCAATTCCCTCATTCTCCCTCCCGTTCATGACGACGCGTTGCAAAGCTGCTCCAATCTGTCTCTCCCCCCTCCCCTCTCTTTACTCACCGCTCTCGTGGCAGTACCTCGCGGGCTGTGGAGTACAGTAAGTAGCTTCTATGGTGGGGCACGCAACACGACTCTCCTCTCTCCCCCCTCCCGACCGACCCAGCGACCAACAGCCAACGCCAATGCTCAAAGATGCATGCAGCACGATATGCAGGTTATACGGATCTGCGAGTATACGATGCGAGGTTCGCTGTATCCTCCCCCCTTGACTACGGAAGCATTCGATCCGAAAACAGTCGTGGTCGTGGCGTCTGGCCGTGTGTGTGTGCATGTGTGGCGGGCTGGATTCTGTAGTGTATCATGTATGTATGGTAGTTTGAACGCCAATCTTTTTATCCATGTCGGAAAATACATCTTTGACTGCATTTTCACATTTCTTTGAATCCACCTTTTTTCGGCAACGTCGGCTATGTTGCTCTGCTCGTCGTTCGTACATACATACATATATGCATACGTACATACATACATACATCTTCACTTGCCTGCATACCTTATTATCATCAACGTACCTCCCATACCGCCATAAAGAAAGACCAGGACCCAATCTGCTACGTGCACACCTCCATCGTATTCGCACCTCTCTCCCACCGACTTTGCTGACACGGCCCCTCCCCCGTGTGTGCTAAAAGCCGCAGTGTAACAAAAAAATAATGCCTCATTCCAGCTTTCCTTTTTTTTCTGGTGCCTGACATAGCCCAGCCCAATCTCACGTCCCCCTTCCCCCTCCCCCCTTTTTTTTCTTTCCTTTTCTTTCTTCGAATGTACGGCTGTTGCATCATGCATGTCTGATCATTTGCTCGGCAAAAGGCTTATCATGACGTCCAAGAACCAAAGGAGGTGCTGGGCATATTGGCGCACGGGAAGGACTGAGACACTCTCACCCTTCCACTTGGTTGACAAAAAAACTTCACCACAAGGTGCAGACAAAGACGATTGACTTTCTGGTCAATTGTACGGAAAAGAATTAACGTGAGCCATGGATCACATATATATCGAAAAATCCTGATCATCTCTAGAACGAATACAGTCTTTCCTTAGTCCTACACACACACAACTTATACATACGCAGTTTAACCCCAACGAAAAAGATGAAAAAAAAACAAAAAGAGAGCGAACGCGATCAACAAACACACTACTCTACAGGATCCTCCTCGAGGAGCACCTTGAAGCTAAACGGCTCAAAAGGCACGCCATCACCAATAAAATGCTTGCTCATGGCTTCGACCCAGTGCAGACGCAGCGAATGCAACATGGCACTGGTACCCTCCATAACACACAGCACAGCCACCGTGAGTGCGAACCAGAAGTAGAACACAAACACCATGACAAACGCACCCGCAACACCCGTAAACGCAAACGCATTCTTCATCGTCATCTCCCACAGCACAATCGACAGACGCTGATGGGCGAGCGACAGGGCCCACAGACGGAGGTAAGATGCAGTGTGCGACACGCAGTTGAGACAGAATTCTGGTTCCCAAATGTTAGCAAACTATTCCTTTTCTTCAAGAGATTTACCTCAAACTTACCAATCGTGTGAATGACCTGGTGGATCATGACTTCGCTAAACTCAAACTCTTCGTGCTCTTCACCATGGCCAATGTCTTGCGTAATCATAGCAATGCCGTCGTCGTCATCTCCGAAGCTGTCACGACCACCGTTCAAAGGACGGCCGTCTTCCTCGTCGTCATCCAGAGCGCTGACGCGAGTACTCTCGCCAATGCCACGGTAACCCAGACCACGCGCCTTGTTGTGCTCATAGCGAAGGTAGAACGGCTTCAAGAACAACAAGACAGGAACGCAGGCAAGAGCCATCAGCACCAAGATGACTTGGATGGTAGCCTGGCCGGGGTAGAGCGGCTTTGTACCCGCCTCAAGGGTACCGGGGCTCAGGAACATGTAGATCAGCATGTTCAACAAACTAGGTGGGCTTTCGCCGCGGGCAGGCCAGTCAATGCACCACTTGTACACAATAGTAAAGGAGAGGTAACCGAAGATGGACTGGAAAAAGATCATGCCGGGAACAAAGTTACCCCAGATATCAATCTTCGTCTTGAAGTAGCGTGCGTTGACGAGCGACCACATGAGCGAGAACGTCATGTGGCACCAACCGAGCAAGATACTGAGCTTCATCTTGTAACTGTTGGAGAACAGCAGGTCGTTCTCGGTATCGTGCCAGCGGTAGTCCAGACCGAATGGGTAGGTGTAACCCTCGACACGGGTTGCCGTTGGGCCCTTGCCGTCGTTGTCCCACACCCACATAGACTTGAACCAAGGGAGACCAAGAGAAAAGGCGTCGCAGTAGAGGAGACCGGTGTAGATGGAGAAGATACCCATCATAAAGACAATATAACGACCGTAGAACATCATAGAGAACAGCTCATCAAGCTTGCTGCGCTCAAGTCGCTTTTCAAAGTGAATCATGGCCAATGCTGCAAGAGTGAGGATAACACCGTGTCCGGCATCACCAAACATGACAGCGAACATGAACGGGAAGGTGACAATGGCTGGCAGAGCAGGGTTGACTTCACGGTACTTGATAGTTCCGTAAGCGTCGATGATGGTCTGAAAGCCCACAGTGAACCTGTTCGACTTGAAGTAAGTCGGTGGCGTTTTGGTGGTCTTGATCTGGTTAACAATCGTGGGGACCGAAAGACCAGCGCGCTCATTGACGTCCGACAAGGTTGACTTGATCAGTCCAAGCGAGTTGGTAGGCGCCCAGGCCTCGGCAATGAGCGTCTTGCGCTGGTGGTCGTACGAAAACTTGTTCAGCGTCTCGTACGTAGCCTTCTCTTTCTTGATGACGACCATCCATGCGGCGAGGTTGCGTCCAATCACGGTCAACTCGGCATCCAACGTAGACTTGGTGTTCTTCAGGACACTAGCTAGGTCGCTCAAGCGAGTGTTGACTTCGCGGATCTGGTCCCGTCGCAGCTCGCTGTTCTCGTCCACGCTGTATAGATCGGCACCGAGCGACTCTGAGATCTTGCGGATCTTGGCGATAATCTCTTTGCCGTGAGCAAAGATGATGAAGACATTCTTGCTAGTCTCCTCGTTGTTCTCGGGATTGATGATGGGCTCAGGGATCTCCGACTGGTTCATGTACAGGTTGCCACGAAGAGTACGCCACAGGATGCGTTCGAAGGCGGCAATGCGTTCGCGAGGAATGACACCGGCGACAAAACCGATGTTCATGACGGTGAAGGAGCGCTCAGCGCCCGAGTCGCCTTGTCCATTCTGCTCAACATCCTGGAGTAGCGGCGCGTCATCGTCATCGACAGATTGCCTGATTTCCTCAGTCTGGCCACGCGCCCGGTCGAAGAAGCCGCCAGCCTCCCTCAGCACCCAACGCCACTCTGTGAGCTCCACTTCGCGCTTCTTCAGTGTCTCATAGCTCTCATTCAGTGACGAGATCCTCTGTTCCAAGCTTTGGCTCTTATCCGCAAGTTCATCAATCTCTGAGGCCGAGGGTGCGGTGAATGGGTTGTTGAAGTCGTAGATGGAGCGCATCGGGATGCTGGACTTCTCCATCTGGCTGCGAAAGTATCGGAGCTGGCGCTCTACGTTGTCGAGGCGGCGAATCTCCTGGGTGAAGGTACGTTGGAAGGCTGTCGTTTCCGAGTTGAGCTGTCACCGCTTGTGAGCTTCGTATCCCATCGCATCCATCCACAAGCTGCACCAGAAGCTGTAGAACACGTCCATAAAACTTACATCTCTGAAATCCATGACCCCAAGCTCTCCGAGGGCCGAGACGACCTCGCGACCAATCTCATTGGCGATGTAGAGCTGGGTCAGGGACATGTCCGCCGAGCGGAACATGGTGTCCTTGGTGGGCGCCATGATGGCGGGCTGAGAGACAAGACTTCGAGGATGGGGTGCTTGTCTCGGGGGTTGATGGGTCGACGCGATTTGCGGGATGGTGGTTGATGGAGAGCTGCCTCGAATGCAGGCGATGATGCGGCGAACCAGGTGCTTAGCGTCCTGCTGCGCGCCAAGCCTTGCTATTGATGTCACTTACTTTTTCCGACCATGCAGCTCACGTGTTCCGTCCATAGTCAGTCAACGTCACCAAGCAGCAGTAGCTCGCACTTTGTTTGGCTTCAAAGCCATGAGGCTATCAACCAGTAATGAATTGTCTAAACAGACATCCCGTGCCTAAAAGCAAATCTCCTAAGACGTGTTTGCCTCATCCTCTGGTGCTTGATTACAACGCTACACGCCAGCATCATACAACAAGAAGCAAGCCAGCACTCAGAGCACGCTGATAAATCAAGAGGCAAGGAACGAGAATGATGCTTGATTAACACAACAAACAAGTACCTCAAAGGAATGAAAGCCCACCGTGCCGTTTAAACTACAAAACGCGACAACGCAGAACACCATGCATCCATAAGCCAGTCATTTATTGTGAGTAAAAGATTTTGAACCTGAAAAGGATAAAACAAGAGAAGAGATTCAAAGAATAGAGAAAACCAAAAGAAGAAGAAAAACCGGATGCCGCCTCCCACAAAGTTCGCTGTTGAGTTTTTGAGGCCGCTCGCTGTCGTTAAGAGTGGATAACTAAGATGCGCTGTAGAAACGAACTTCGTCCAGGAAACACCAGGTATCGTAATCAAGAACCCAGATACGCCGTGCTGATTGCAAATGAGAAATTCGGATAGTGGTGAGCAATATGTGCAAGACAAGACGATAGGTCTCAGAGATACATGGGGTGGGTGAAGTCTGTCATTCATTGCTGAGGATAGTAGCCGGCTGGTTGCATTTGCTGAGGGTAATAGTATGCACCATCAGGCCCTGGAGTCATCATGCCTCCCATGCCCGGAACAGCATAGTTGGGCTGAGCGTAATTCTCTGCCGGTGGTGCTGGGTAAAGCTGAGCCGAGTCGACGTAGTATGTCATACCGTTGGACTCGTAAGCCACCATGTTGGGTTGGCCTGCAGGAGCTGGAGGAGCAGCGACGGGGGGAGCAGTTACCGGCATGACATAACCGGGCTGCTGTGCGCCAGGAACAAACATGGGCACTATGCCCGCCGGAGCCATGTATTGTGGCTGTGCATTGTTTTGTGGATAGTAGTAGCCTTGTGGGACAAAGGCTTGCGGTTGAAAGCCAGGCTGAGCATAAGGCTGGAAGGCTGGCGCATGAATAGCACGTTCGGGAATATTGTTGAGTGGAGTTCCCGTAGATACTTGGCTTGGATAAGACGCGTGACGTCCATGTTGATAGAATGACTGATCGGCAGCAGGGGCAGCTCCATTGATGTGCGCAGGCACTTGTTGATGGAAAGGCTGCTGTTCTTGCTGCTGGGGTGGGTTGAAACTCAATGATGCTGGTGACTCAATTCCAGCAACAGATACGGTCTTTTGTGGACGAGGCTGGTGCATAGGGAGCTGGCCTTGCCAGTTCTCCCGGAAAGCCGGTTTCTGTGGGAGCGGATATGGAGGCTGAACAGCGCCATTTGTAGGCGAGATCACGGAAGGTCCAGTTGGCATCCTGGGACCTCCAGGTGGAAGACGTACTACAGGACGACTAGGATCGACGAACCCGCCATTGCGTGACATGATGGAGCCAGCAGGAGAGACGAGGTTTTCACGACCAATCTCGCGTGCAATTGATGACCGCCTGCTCATTGCTACGCTCGGCGAGTATACACTACCTCCGTATGCACTCGTTCGTCTGCTCGAGAAGCCCCCGCCGAAGGACCCAAATCTACCTCGTCCCCGTCCAAAGCCCTGCTGATTGGGCCGGAGTGCCCGCGGAATGAAGATGAAGGACCGCTCAACTGTGGGGAAGATATAGCGCGGCGGGGCAGGCGGAAGTGAGATACGGACTGGCTTATCGCGACGGAGCGGGGGTCTGTGGTTTGGGAGACGGGTATGTTGCTTGATAGGTACATTCTGGAATTGTATAGGGCCTTTCATGTTTGGCAAGAATACCCGAACCATGGCATTGTGTGTATGAACCGTGGTGGAGAAGTTACGAGCCTGCGAAGGCTTTTGGTTAGACCCCGGAGGTACTCGAGAGGCAAAGGTGGGCGCATTCGGTGGTTGCTGCTGGGAAACGGCTGAAGGTGGGCCAGGCTGGTCGTGGGAGCCCGGTGCATTGACGGTCTCGTGCAGATCATGCTGCCAGGGCGAGTCAGTAGCCTCCGAAGACTGTGGCCTCATACTATAATAAATGTCAGTGTCGAGCTCCAGCTTGATTCCCTGTGGCTGCACGTACTTTGCTGGAGAGAAGGGCCCCCCGATGGGAGCACCCCGCCCCCTTCCGCGACCAGCAGGCCTGAAGCCATTCTGGCCGGGTGCGTGGCGCTGGTCGTGCATGAAGAAAGCCCCGCGATTGGGGATGAAAGCCGGGTCAGAGTCGCGTTTCTTCTTGTATTCCTCGTGCTCCCGCCGCCGGCGCTCCGCCAACGTCTCTGTCCGTGAGGAAGCCACACCAACAGCTGGCGCCGTCTCTGGTGCTGCTGTACCAGTCTCAAAGTCAATCTCATCGGGTTCCTTTCCATCTTCGCCGATCTGAAGCCCGTTCATCATGATCTCCGTCTCTTTGACAGCGGAGAAAGCCACGTCGGAGCGAGCAATGGGCGGAGAAGGTTGCCGCTGGCTAGCATTCTGTCGAGGCTTTGCATCACGCGAGGCATTTGATTTGCGCTTTGGCTTTCCTTGGGTAAGGGAGGGGGCACTGTCGACCTCACTAAGGTCGCTGTTATCGGCATCGGCGTCCTCGTCGACATCGCTGAGCAGCGAGGCGTCACTCTGGGAGTCGTCGGCCAGAGTTGCCACCGACTGGCTCTCATCTTCGTCATCTGTCCGCCTGCGACGCGCAATGTTGGTGGTTCTCTTGCGGGCGGGAGCCATGATTGCGGGGGTCTGGGTAGTGGCGGAGGTCGAGGGCGCGATGGAGTCGGCGTGGGGTGGTCCTTGGTCGGCTCGTGAACGGCGAGACGATGAGTCGGCTGCGGAAGGCGTCCGGAACAAGGGGCCGGCAGCGTAAGAAGCGCCGAGTTTGCAAATCCGGCAGGTGCAGCGATTGCGGTCGTGATGGAGCGAGATTGTGTGTTGGGCGTGAAGGCTGGGATGATTCGGTGGGTGATGTCTGACGCCAGAAAATGCCCATGACGGAGCTTGCCGTGCGGGAACGACTGGTCGCGGAACCGGTTGATGCGCGCTACTCCACACCAACAACACACCGTCTCAATCAAAGGCCACTCATCAACAATCCTGCCCTGTTACGTTTGTAACCATTGTTGATCACATCGGCACGATCTGATCGCCTTGGCCAGCCTGCGCATTGTTTCTGCTTCATCGCAACTTCTGTTTGGTTGCCAAACGTTGTCCGTAGCTGATTGTTTTAGGCTACGAACTCCCATACATCAACTGTGCCATCATGAGCTAGCCAAATTACGAGGATGTGAATATGTAAACATTTTCAACGCTATCTACCTGCACAGACCCAATGTAGCCTGGCCTGGGGCCCATCCATATTTCCATTGAGACTTCTCTCGCCCAGTCCATGCCAGACCCTATCCAGCGCCGCTCAAATGCTACCCACTGAATGCTATGACAAACGCCTATAAATGCTTCGAGACCTGCCGGAGTGGGCAGCTCCATCGCCCGGGTATGCATGCAAATGTCCGAATCGTGACATGAAAAAAAAGAAAAACATGAAAAAAAAAGTGAAGGGATCGCTCTTATTATACAAGCCTACCTTTGTCTCCACAAAATCATCCGGCAACTATTGCTGAAGATGCGGTAGGCCATAGTAGTGAAACAGTATTTGCTGAAAAGGAAAAATCATTGGTTCAAGTCGTGGATGTAAGTGCAGTTGTCGCCCTTGTTGCATTGGCCCTTTTGGAAGAATTTGCATGCGAGCACCTTGTGAGGCTTGTGATCTCCTCGGTTCTTGGGTCGCTTTCCTTGGTTGCGATCGTTGATGCCATTGGTATCGTCCCGTTGCCGTTTGGTTCCAGCGTTGGTTTGCTGGTTATATTGGGATTGTGTCTGAGTTTGATAGGATGTAGCATCTTGCATCGGCTGAGACCATGCGGTAGCATCAGCTTGCTGGGTTGGGGGTGGAAACGTAAAAGGAAATGGAGGGAATCCGGTAGGTAGTGGAGGGGGAGGAGGAAGTGCACCGCCGGTCGCTGCTTGCATATTGGCAATCAGGGCAGCAATGTCAAGGCTTACACCGGGCTGTTGGGGTGCATTTTGCATTGGGAATGATGCGGGCGGAGGAGCCTGGGGAGGGGGTTGGCCATTACTGATGGAGTTGAGGAGGCTTTGAAGCCCGGCAGGGTCGAATGTAGGAGCAGCTGCGGGAGGCGGCGGCGTATACGTGTTTTCGGCCGGAGCCGTCGGGGCAGGAGGAGCGGCTTGAGCTTGGTTGGTAGCCGACAGTTGTTTGATGATGTTCTCCAGTTGGCTGAAGTCCGGCACAGTCGCTGCCACAGGTGGCTGTGGGCACTTCCTTAGGACCGTCTCGGGCGGTGGTCCAAAGCTGACAACAGGACCATTAGATGGAATCTCCTGCTCTATAGGCTCTTTTGGAGTCGGTGGAATGTCGTCATTGCTAGAATAGTAGACCATTAATGTGGCGTTCTCGCGCTGCATATTGGCCTCTTTCTCGGGACAGATAGGTTGCTGGAAGCCTCCTCCGTAGGGCGCGTAGTTTCGTTGGCGTTCTTCAGGGTGTACAACACTAAAGTCAACTTCGGATGGTGGTGCCCACGATCGCTGTTCGCCATCCAAATCCTCGTCATCGTCGTCGAGATCAAGCTCTTTGTGTTGCTTGAACATGCGCCCTTCTCCGCCAAGGTCGCCAGCATCCCGCACGAGGTGA